CTACTTCTATCCAAAATTTTCCAGTTGAATATATTTTAAAATTCTTCTTGTTTTTTTTTTAAAGTTTTTAAGCTAATTTTCTTTACGAAAAGTATAAAAAACTGTTTTCAGCGCTTTTTATACTTAACCAATCGCGTATTAAATGGTATTACGTAGCATATTTTCGTGCGCGATAGAAAACTTACTTTCAAATTCCTTTTAATGCACTTGCCGTGCTATTATTGGTTTCTCTCTTCCGTTCTTTCTTTTCTACGATAACGTATATGCGAGCTTATGCGAGTTATGCGGATAAGCAAACTTTAGATTTCAAATCAACTTTCAATAGCGGTATGTGATGTTGATATTTCTGAAAGGTAAAATTTTAGTAATTTTCCTCTTCACTGACAGTTATGATGCGTGCGGTATATGCACGTGAATTTCCCTAACACCGAGAGCCATACATATATATATAATAACCATGTATGCCAAGCAGTAAATGTATCATTCATTCAAGATTTAAGACGAAAGCATATGTTCGGTTTGTAATGTATATGTGATACCATCGGGGGCTGTATCGTTTTGATGTAACATTTTCATAAAAATGAAATTGTTGCGAAATTGTTTCTACGTAATGGAATATGCACAACCCATATGCACAATACATATGCGCGGAGACTGCCTGCATATGCATATGTGAAAGATTCATGGCAGCGAAGGAATTGTCTTCTTCATATACGGAATATATAGAAACGTTTGTCATCTATTTTGCATAAATAGTCAACAACAAAAGGAACTTTATGAATTTTCATGCATGACGTGCACGTGATGTGATTTAAATTTGAATTGTGAGCATTAAGTTTTTCTACTCTACTGGGTGCGTTTCATTTTCCCTAAGGTAGTTAAAGCAAATTATGGTTAATTTGTGAAAATTGAATTTATATGGCGCTTGAAGCATTTTATTTTATTATTATTTTTTTTCTGCATGTATAGCACAATAGGATCCAATACGTATAAGCAAATAGGTCTAGCTACGCAAAGGTTCATTCTCATTTCCCCAAAAACAGTTTGATAAAAAAATAATTGATGGACCGATATATCGTGATAATCCATATGTTACATATTAAGAAAAAAATTCGGATCGAGATTTATTTAATCTTTTTTAAGTGCAATGCGAGCGATTCATAGTATGAATTTGAAACATTTATCCAAATAAATATTGCGCCTAATAGTATGCAATTTATCTTAAAAGAAAAACTGTAGAAATAACCTAAGAATTTATTTTCTATTTCTGAAATATTTGTAACATAATTTTTGGAAAATTTTAAAAGTTTTTTTTTTCTTTTACCATTAACCTTTACCTTTAAAAAGGTCATGGACAATAATGCTTAAATGTAACTGATTTTCTAGAGATTTTACTTCAATTTATATTTTGTTTTATGTTACCTTTGCCACTATTAAAGTAAATTTAAAAAAAGGAAAAAACAAAAACTAAAAAACAGGAAAACGAAACAGAAACAGAAAAGAAAAAAAAAAAAAAAAAAAAACAAATGAAAAACAAAACGAATACTAAAGCGTTCTTAGAAGATTATTTGTGAAAACATTTCGTAGTAAATATTTTGTATAAGATATACACCGGAGTATTATTTGCGCAGAGTTCTGGTAAAACAAACAAATCCTTGATTTATGCTGTATACTATAGTAGTGATAGTGGCTACTCCACTACCCAAAATCCGTAAAATAAAGCAAAAAATATTTATTTCCTTATCTTCTCGAAGAAAGTACGCACACATATCGGGGACAGACAGGCAAACAGACTTACTGCTAGACAAATCTTAACGGTATGTACACGTATGCGTGTATATACATATTCCGTAACAATTTCTACATATTAAATCCTAGCACTCTGTGTGTTGTAATATTATTTTCTATATCCTTTTTGGTCATAAATGCTTGAATGCATGCAACTCCGTGGATAAAAGACAAAATGCACTACTATTGCGTGCGTGCATGCATATACATATGTACATAGATATATACGCAGAGTGAATTTCGTATTTGATATTTGAAATGCAATCAAATGAAAACAAACTGCTATTGTTAGCACATCCTTGATCCTTAATATTTGTACTTCTTTTCATGTGTTGCGTGGATTGTGGTTATATTTGTCTATTCGTATTTTGGTTAGCCTTTGAATTTTAGGATTTTTTTCCCTTTTGCCCTTCTCAATGTTTTCTTCGTTTCATTCTTAACTTGTGGCCATAAAAATACATTGACGATGATGACAATGATTTAGAGTTATGTACTTATACGTTTTAAAGGATTTAATCAAACAAAATAAAGAAAAATCAAATAAATTACAAGTAAATACAATCTCAACAGCCAGTCAGTCAGCCGGGTAGGAACATAATATGTGTATGTATAAGCTTCGTTCTCTGTCTGCGTTTTTAAACCAACTAATCATTTATTATAACTTTTAGAGATATTACAAAGCATCCACATTCAGCGAAGTGTCGAAGCGTAGAATATTCCTTTAAAATAATGTCTAATAGTATTAAAGATTTTTAAACAAAAAATAAATAAATGAATAAAATTGAAAGAAAAAAATAAGAAAATGATACACCCTCTAGTAGGCACTCTTTTTGCAAGGTCTTTCCTTAAACGCGGACTTGCCATTTGATCGAGACTTTAGATCAAAAAAGCAGGTTTTACCTCTGATCGCGCCCATTTTCAAGCTTCGTTTGCAATCTTTAGTTAAGCTTTTTATTTCAAATTTCTCGACCATTAGTTGCTCAAAACCTAACGCTGATGAAGAATAAGCATGTATACATATACATATGCATCTATATACAATTATATAGCATATGATTTCAAACAAATGAATCCGTTGTGCTCAAATTAGCTGACTCGTAAAACGCACCTGACTCGTTCAAGTTTCTCGAAATTTCCGATGTAGATAGCTTTGAAATTGATCTTTGAGCGATATAAGTTTCGATTGTTTACAAGCCCTCGTTCAGTGTGTATCAAAGTTGAAGGATATGAACGTCATTCACGCCAATGCGTTTTTTCGTGTTTTCAACTGGATTATCCTTGGAAAAATTGCACTGAAAAAAGCCACGGAAATGACTAGATTGGCTTGGAATGAAAATACAATTAAGCTACGAAAAGTCAGGGATTTCGGCGAAAACATTTTAGAAGTGAAAGCGATGAAATTCGCGCAGGCCTGTCCGTCATCCGCAAAGGCAACCAGGCAAATAATTTTCAGCTTAAGCTGAAAAGTTCTGCCACGCGGCGCATGCTCTGCCGAGCTGGATTGCTTCGATTACCTTCAATTATTCAGAGCGATGCAGTCGTATTTGGCACACCAGCGTTTCACGGAAGTTGAGGACATGCGGATATTGATAATGCACATTTCGAATGTTAAGCTTCCTAAACAAGTATATCTTAAATAAAGTTGAATTTTATCAAAACAATGGAACAAACTCATTTGCACACCTATTATTTTACAGAGTGAGAAGACATATTTGCCCAACCTACCCTATTGTAGGATTTGCACTGCATTAAAAGCCATCTTGAATGTCTGATGGTGTAGGTGTGTGTCTTCGTCCCGGACC